TAAGAAAAAAAAATATAAAACTTATATATTTAACTTATTTTCAATATTAGCTCAGTTAGTGGCGCTTTATAGATTACCTTATAGCAGTCACTTGCAGCAACCTTTTTGTGGCTTTCTCGCGGAAGTTACATATATAACCCTCCATGTGCTCTGGCCTTGTTACGTTTGGATTTGGAAGGTTGAGTTTTTATTGCTTTCTAGGGAAAGCTTGGTTGCCAGCTGCAAATGAAGCCAACTAACCTAATACCCCCATGTATCTGTAGTTTTCTACAGCTAGCCGCTAGGTTTATATAAATACAGAGAGTGTTGCTCAAGTTCATTCAGCCAAGGGCGGAACCACACTAAGGGCTACAGTGGGCTAGAGAGAAGGAAGAGTTTAGTACTTAGAGGTAAAGAGCATATATATAATATGGTATGTGAAAATATGAGAGAGAAGACTTTGGAAGCAAAATACCTAGTGCTTTACCTAGAGAGTGAGATATATATACTAACAATTAGCTAAGTTAAACAAGAAGAAAATTGCTAATTTAGATCAAGACCCAACAATTAGCTAAGTTAAAATAAATGTACTTTGAACAACAAAGAGCATACATATATATATATATATATATATATATATTATGGTCTCTGAAAATATGAAAGAGAGAGAGAGAACTTTTGATGTTATTGTTGATTTGTCCCCACCCTCCCCTTGAATTTTTTTCAAACCTTTCCTTCTGTCACAAAATTGATAAACGCATTAGATGACTTGTGGTTCCCACACCATTTTCACCACCAATATTTGACACTCGAATCATTTTCAAAACCCTAGCAAATTACATTCTATATCATAATAGTACCAATGCACTATGTACTTGACATGCAGACTCAAATGTGACCGTTGTATGAGTACTCTAAATACCATCCCTCCAATTTATAGGACTTTTCTAATTATTCTACTCCATGGTTTTTCACCAAATAAATTGAATGGTACATGGATTATATATATATATATATATATATATATATATATATGAGACATATAATTACTTACAGATTAATTGAAATGATAAAGTCTAACAGGCGACTCTAATGTATATCAGGCTAAGCCCACAGGCTGTGCGGACTGGATGACAGCACAAGGTCCCCAAAAAAATAGGACCCCCCTGTAACACATTTTAGCCCAAGAGATATAGTTGCAAAAAGGCATTTTATATGTGTAACTTATACATTTTGGGCTTTATACTTTTCATGTAGTGGACCTCTTTTACATAAACTAACAAACTTAAGTTTGAAACTTTTATTTTAATTTTTGTTCAAACTAAGGTAAATATTGAACATAAAAGGCCTCAATTTTTATTTTTGTCCAGGGCCTCCAAAATCAAAATCAATTGACCGGCCCTGATGTATATAATAGCACAAATGTATCCCATATGCCATATGGCCAGATTACTTTCTTCTTCATTTTTTTGGGGATCGCTTTATAATAATGTTACATACAGTCCCGTTCTCCTGGACCCCTGTAGTCCAAGGAAACTGTGGTCACCAACCATTAGATCAAATCTAATGGTTAAGAAAAAACAAGTTTAAAAATCAATATGTTATCATTTTATATTAATTTTATTTAACAAAAACTAAAATTAAAAAAGTAAAAGAAAGCAAACCACGCTTTTTGGAGAAAATGAAGAACATGTTCTTGCATCCATCGACATTCACAGCCACCAACTCCAATTGAAATTACAACAAACTTGGGGAAGTGAGCTCTATGGCCTCAATATGATTCGACAACTGACCCATTTGAATGGTGGTGATGAAGGACCCGACCCATGAGAGAATCTGGTCATTGGTGGCAATCTGGTTGAGAGGAGGGGCGAGATTCCGAAGACGACAAGCAATTCGCCTTTGGGTGGGTGGAGATGGAGGTTTATTTTTATAGAGATCTTGTTTTTAAAGATTTTATTTAGAATTTTCTAAAGGTGGAGATGGAGGTTGATCTTCTCCATTGTATGAAGGAGATGGTGGAAGTTGATCACGTGGTGGTGGAAAGTTCTGCCTTTTTTCAATTGAATGATGGTGGTGGTGGTTTGGGTTTTTTTTAAAACTTATTTTTAATTATCAAAATAATGTTTTGATGATACAATTATAATTTTTAAATTAGTTCTTTTTTTTTTTCTCAACCATTAGATCTAATCTGAGGGTAGTTGACCACAGTTTCTTTGGACTACAAGGGTCCAAGAGAACGGGTTGATGTTACATATTATTGATGTTAACTTGGATAAACTGTGTCAAAATTATACGTTAATTGCGGAACCACCCACAAGGCTATGGTGAGCTATGGGCTAGGTTGATTTTTGAAGAAAACAAAATTATATATATGGTCCATTAACAACTACACTAGGGCCCGTTTGGGAGTGCTTTTGGAAAAGTTAAAAATGCTTTCTGACAACCAAGAGCGCTTCTAACAGCGTTTGGCAAAAAATTTTAGAAGCGCTTTTGGGTCATAGAATCGGTTTCTGGAGAAGCACCTGTCATGTGCTTTTTTAGGAATCACTCCCAAGTGCTTTTTCAAGAAGCACTTTGGTTTCTTATGAAAAATTTCAACGTCTTCATAATAAAAGCTCTTTTGATAGAAGCGCTTATACATAGACGTGCTTAGAGAAGTAGTCCCAAACGAGCCAGTATCATGAAAATATGAAATTTGACGCTTGTTTAATGAAAGGTTTTTGAAGGAAAAAAAACCTTTAGGGAAACATTGTTGGAGAAAGGTCAGCTATTATTGGAGAAGTATATAAAGGAGTGACAGAAGGAGAAAAGGGCATAGGTAAGGTTTCACCAACAATCACACCAATCTTGACACAATGTCTATACAGAGAGAGAGAGAGAGAAAGAAAAATCCCAAAGTAATGCAAAAATTAGGGATTCAAAGTGTGTGCCAGAAACACCAAGAATCAAGCTGTTGCACAAATTAATGAACCTAACGATTGCAGAAAATAAGAATCCTGAAGAGAAGAACTTAGCTTTAGAAGCGAAGAGAGAATCGGATGACAAATCGAAGATTTGATGCGGCGAAATTGACGAAGCAACGGAGGAGGGAGCAAACGAGAGCTGAAAGAAGAAGAATATGCCAACCTCACGGCTCTAATGCCATGTTAGAATCCATGAGAGAGGATTGTAGAGCTAAGAAAGCTAGAATTTGATAGTGAGAGAAACGAGAGAAGAAAGATCAGAGAGAGATGAAGTAGAATTAGATTCTATTCTTAATGAATGTGATTACAAGAGGGAGTGCTATTTATAGCAACTCAATCAGCTAACTAACAATAAAACAATAATTAACCCCAAACTTCAGCTATTAGACACAACTTGAACATATACACTTTTAATTATGTTGTTGAACATATATATTCATTTTGATAATATGTACTTTTGTTGTTGCATTTATTATGTATTCATTTTATGTTAAATGTATTTATTTATTTTTGTTTATATGATTTAATGTATACTTTTATTTATAGAAAAACCATGGAAACTATAAGTTTTTTTTTATTTTTTTATTTTTTATACATATTCCTTGCAAGGATTAAAATATCGGCTATGCAAATAATATTGGGCCTCCAATTTACGGATATTTCGGGGGATATATCGTTAATGTTTTAGGTATCGGGAAAAAAATCAACAAAAATGACAGATATAGACATTGAAACACATAATTTTGGTGTAAAACTTTCATATATATTATGTACATTATCAATAAATGTATTGAACAAATAAAACTCAAAATTTACTAATAATAAAATATACATATGATGAAATATAAGTGGCATGTAATGCGCGTTAATGAAAAGTTTGAAAATAAAATGTTAATTAGAATGAATAAACCATGCATAAATCCATAGTTTGTTTAGATAAGTGTCTATCTACATAAATGAAGAGCTCCTATGAGGTTCAAATAATGAGGAATAACCATCTAGATTTATACAATAGTCATACCAAGTCATGTAACCTGAGCAGTTTCTAAGCCATGTTTGAACATTGTGCACATAGGTCTCTCTTGAGCTCCCTATTATCCTCCCATATATGGGATAGTTAGGATTAACCAACTAGTAAGTCAATAATCTATTTTATCATCTGGAGCTCCATAACTAGTTCCATTATAATCAGGCATGACATAACCATAGCCATCATAAGATTCATTTGAGTTAGTACTAGGTCTAGTTCCTATGCTCATAGATCCAAAACTGATTGCCATGTCATCTTCAAATGGATTAGAGGTATGTGAGTAGTGGACTGTGCATAGATTCTTCATATTAATAAATTAGAATCTGGCCAATGATTAGCTATTTTTGGATTTCAATTTGCTTCAATTGTCTTTAAAACTTTTGAAATTTTTTTTAGGTTCTATTATGGGTATCGGGAAATATCGGGGATATCGCACTTATTGGGGATATATCGTTGATACAGGGGAAGATATGGCCTTACCCCCCGATATCGGTGTCAACAGTTGAAAATACCGATATATCGACAGATATATCGGTGTATTGGCCGATATTTCACTCCTCGATTCCTTGCATATGTTTTGTATGGAGGAGCTAATTCAAAGGTACCAGGTTGCTAGAGGGACTAGAATATCACAACGCAATGACACGGAATAAGTTTAGCTCATCACCTCATTAATCATTGTGTACTGAATTTTAATTTAAACTTAATCTCAGGATTAATTAATTGTAGCGCACTCAAAAGTTCAAAACCTGTATAGGAATATATGAATGCTACACTGGTGAGGACCTGAGCCGTGTGCACTTTAAGGATCCAGTGGAGCTTGAGCACCTGCTAGAAAAGTTTGTTAACAGGGTTCGAGCTTGCAAGGAATATCAATTACAATCTCAGTCCATCTGGTGGTGAAAACAACTAAGCAGTGTTCTTAAGCTTGCCACTCTGGCCTCATCCTCTTGGTTCAACCCCTACTCTCTCCAGCTTCCTCATCAACCCAGCCTTCTGGATTTCAATCTCAGCGGCCGCTCTATATGGTACATACCAGTGTTTTCAAAGGCATGCTTAGGCACGCGTTGAGGCGCGCTTCGGAGCGAGGCAGCGGTGATTCGCCTCAGGCGCAGCTCAGTTTAGCGAATGTCATGAAAGGCGTACGCCTTGAAGTCGAGGCGGCCACTAAACGCAGATGCGCTGTGAAAGGCGCAAGCCTCGCGAGGAAGACAGAGTTCCTTTATTTGAAAAATCTGATTCCGGACGACGTCGTTTGCATGGGCTGTGTTGTTTCGTTTCCCTCTAGTTAAGCTGTGCGTTTTAGTTTTAAGTTTGAACATTAGACATGCACCGTTTTGTTCAAAAGAAACCAGCTTACCCATTTATTCCTTCCCTCTCCCAAAAGCCAAAGTTCCTAAACAGACCAACAGAAACTGCCTCCCACCTTCCACCATCAGTTCAGTCCACCTCCATAATCTACTCTTTTATCTATTCGAACTAGGTAGAAAGGCCCTAGACTTAGAGAGATAATATAACCAAAAGGATATATGGTAAAGAATTGAGCAATAGTAAGAGAAATTTTGAAAAAACAAGTTTGATGGTTAATTTATACTCTAGAGTGGCATTCAATACATTCAATAGCTGTTTTATATTTTTGTAATTATAATAACTCAATACCCGAAAGGCTTACGCCTCAACGCTTTGAGGCTTACGCCTCGCCTCATAAGGCATAAAACGCCTCACTCTAGCGCCTCGCCTTTCAAAACATTGGTACATACATATATAGCAATTCGAGCCTCCTCAATTACAATCTCAGCCGCCCCTATTACAATTCAGCCGCCTCCTAATACGTCCACAAACACAAAACATCGAAACCTTTGTTTTTTGGTCAAATTCAGCCCCACACTGGTCCTACCCCTGTGAGTATGTTGTCGTATACGAGATGCACACACAAGAACCTATACACAACAAGAGCTGCTATAACACCATTAATTAACACAAATGTTAGTCATACCACCTTGTGTACCACTTTTCTAATAAAGGTGGACTCTATTATATTGGTGGGCTCCCACCTCTATTAGAGAGGTGGTACGTACACTAGTGGTATGCAAATATGGTATGTCCTATAATTTTAGTTTGTGCCATTATCATCCTACTTACCAATTTGAGCTTTTCGTTGGTACCTCAAAATCTTGCTCTTACGACATTTCTCAGCATAGTGACCACAAATCCTCTCTTTGCAGCAATGTTTGAATGTACAAAAAATTGCAATTTTGTATTGTCAAATTACCTGTCATATTGTAACTTATGTTTTTAATTTTATGCCGTGATTGAAACTTATGTAACACAACACTTTGTACTCATAATTATAATGTCTAACGTAGCCACTGCTCAGCTAGAATATGAATTCGGATCTATTTCACATTCAAATGTCAAAATAATACTACCCATTGAAGCCAAAAAATTTGAGTACAAGCGATAGTTTATATTATATGGGAGGGGGTTTCTCACACACACGCACACAACTAAGATGCCACGGGGGTTTCAAACTTGGGACCTCTGATATGCAAGTCAAGTCTCTTTCCCATTGGACTAGACCGCGTTGACCATTGAAGCACAGTTATGATGTGTGAATGTGAGAGAGGGAGAGACAGAGATGAGGGTGTGTGCCTGTTGGGCTTTAAAAAAAATGTTTTTAAAAGAATTTGACTAATCTACCCCTACATGGCTTTCTTCTCATAATTAAATTTCTTTTTTGGCTTTTTATCACAAAACGTCCATGATGTTTGCAAAACTATCATATTACATCCTTAAAGTTTTTTTTGTATAACTCATGGTCCCTAACGTTAATATAGGTGCTCTTAAATAGTCATTCTGTCAAAAAAGCTGTATGAGTTCCTTAAGGTACAAAACTGTCATGGGATTCCCCAACCTTTGACAGTTCCACAGCTGCGCTAGTTCCTTCGATGGACTCACCACCACTTCACACCAAATGGCATTTGAATATTCAGTCGAAGAAAACTCAAGTCCCTTAACTTCAATTGCATGAACGCTCTAGTGGTGTACATATATATATATATATATATATATATATATAGGATACTATTGTTTTTGGTCTCATAGTGTTGTAATAGGATTTCCTAGTTGTCTCTCTCCCTCTCCCTTCCCCTTCTTCCTCCTCCTCAAAAATCAAATCATGATGGCATGTGACTACAATATCGTGGTTGTAGCGATGGGCCTGCTTTGCCTGTTTGTGTGCATGATCACGATATGGGCGTGTGAAGTATGCAAAGATTGTGGTTGCAGAATGGCTGTTCTAGTTGGAGCTAATATTTAACTCTTGTGTGGTAGGATTCTTCATTGGGCTCGTATGCTATTATGGCATGAAGACGCAACAAGCCAATCAAAAAAACCAGAGTGGGATTTTTGGAACGTATGAGTTCCTTAAGGAACATAACTGTCATGGGATTCCCCGACCCTTGACAGTTCCACACTAGTTGTATCATGACTTTCGTGTGGCTGTTTCAGGCCAACCACCACCGCCCATTTCATCACTGAGTTTTCCATTGCCAGCACCCGCAAACCTTTTTTCCACCTCAGCTATTACCTTTGACAGACTCCCCACCACATTACACCAATTGGCATTTGAATATTCATTCAAAGAGAACTCAAGTCCCTTAGCTTCAACTTTGCTCCTACCTCCTCATCGTCGAGTAAGCCTTATCAATGGGCCAAGTCTAGCTAGCCTAGCCTAAATATGATAGGCTTAGGTCGGGCTGAGCCGGGCTTCAAGAAAGAAAGAGAAAATAATGGGCTAGGCCGGCCGGGCTTTTTCAGAAAATTCAAAGTCCATGTCGGCCTAGGCCTTAGATTCATCGAGCCTGGTCGAGCTGAAATGAGCCTTTTTGTCTTCTTTTATTTATTTATATGGATTGTGTTTGTCAATTTTTTTTTCTATGTTTTGCTGTGTTTTTATGTTTCCCTTTTTTTCATAGTTTTTTTAAACATTTGTCTATATATTTATGTCTTCCATAAATATAAAGATATAGTTACACAACCACCATAATAACAAAAAAGAGAACTATAAAGTTATGAGCACATAAAAAAATGGAGACATAAATAAATAGTTATGAGTGTTTGAACGGGTCCTAACGTTTTCGGAAAATGTTTTATGAGAATATTTTATGCGAATGAAAATGAGAAAATGAATTTGCATTTTCAAGATTCGAAAATGCATTTGGTAGATTAATTGGAAAACATATTCAAAAAAATAAAAATAGTGAAAACGTGTCTGGTATGAGAATTTGAGATAATAATTTGTGAGTTATTTTACAAGTATATTTTTTGCTAATTTTTGTCCTAAATTTTTTTTTATAAATATTCTGATATTTTAAAGACCATTATCATTGCAAACAATGAAAAATGTATACTTTGAGAATAATAATGTATAATTTAAAAAAAAAATCTAATTTTAGCAAAACTTAGATTATAAAATAATATTATCTTTAGTTTAAATATAAATATGAATATATGAAAAAAAAAAAAAAAAAAAAAAAAAGAAATTAGACCAATACATTGGGTAGAAAATGAAAACGGTAATTTGGTATTTTTAATTTTTGTACATAAGTTTAAATTTGTTTTTAAAAAATAATTCTAATGAAAATGAAAGAAAATGAAAACTACCAAATGGCTCTAAGGACTGAACGGGCCCTTATTTTTGTCGGTAAATAACACATGTGTTAAAGCTCTTTGCATTACAGGTAGGCATCATAATTTATAAAATAAAATAAAAATAAAAAATCAATGCTTTTTTGCCACCTTCTTCTTCGTTCATTCCTTTCTTCCCCAATCCCCTCATCCCTTCTCTCTCTCTCTTTCTCTCTCTCCCTCTCTCTCCATCTCCTAAAAATAAGATCTTGATATCTCCCAGCTCACCACCTCTTTCAGACTCAAACAAACCATTTACCAAATCTTCACAATTTCCATTTAATTTTTGTTATCTTTTCTTTTCCTCCAACCAGACCCATGGATCTGGCCCCAGAGGAGCTTCAATTTCTCACCATCCCAGACATCCTCAGAGAATCAACCTCCATCCCCAAACAGTCCCCTAAGACCTTCTACCTCATAACCCTAACCCTAATTTTCCCCCTCTCCTTCGCAATCCTAGCCCATTCCCTCTTCACCCACCCTCTCCTCAACCAGCTTCAAGGCCCGTCCACCGACCCGGCCCAGCTCCACCACAAATGGACTGTCCTCCTCCTCTTCCAGTTCTGCTACCTCATCTTCCTCTTCGCCTTCTCTCTCCTTTCCACAGCCGCAGTGGTCTTCACTGTCGCTTCCCTCTACACCTCAAAGCCCGTCTCTTTCTCCTCAACCCTCTCCGCCATCCCCAAAGTCTTCAAGCGCCTCTTCATCACTTTCCTCTGGGTCTCTCTCCTAATGGTCTGTTACAATTTCGTCTTTGTGGCTTTTTTGATCCTTCTCATTCTCGCCATTGATACCCAGAACCCACTTTTGCTTCTTTTCTCCGGCGTTGTACTATTTCTTCTATTCTTGGTTGTACATGTTTATATAACCGTGGTCTGGCATTTGGCCAGCGTTGTTTCTGTGCTTGAGCCCGTTTACGGGTTCGCTGCGATGAAGAAGAGCTATGAGCTGCTGAAGGGGAAGATTGGGATGGCTTTTTTGCTGGTGTTCGGGTACTTGTCCATTTGTGGGGTTATCGGAGGCGTTTTTGGGACGGTGGTGGTCCATGGCGGGGAAGATTATGGGGTTTTTGTGAGGATTGTGGTGGGTGGGTTCTTGGTGGGTGTTTTGGTGATTGTGAATTTGGTTGGGTTGTTGTTGCAGAGTGTGTTTTACTATGTTTGCAAGAGTTACCATCATCAGGGGATTGACAAGAGTGCTTTGCATGATCACCTTGGCGGATATCTTGGAGAATACGTGCCTCTCAAAAGCAGTGTTCAGATGGAAAACTTGGATGTCTGAGGAAGGAAGAAGATACTTGGATTTATGTGTAAGTTTCTGTGTACTTGCTGTAAAAAAGAAAGAGAAAAAAAAGAAAATCAAAACTTTGGGAAAGGCTTGTGGAATTTGAGTTTAGTTTTTGGTTGTACCTATACATGTTCCTTGTTTCTTTCCTAATAAACATTTAAGCTAGCTGTTGCTTCTAATTGATTTACGTTGCTGGGAATTACTGTTAACTGTCAACCGAAGAAATGTACATGTATTTATCGTAATAACTCTACAACCTTCAATGATTCAAAGTAGTATGAACATCCATTAGTAAAATCAGTTTGTTAAAGCCAAGCCAACTCGTCAATTTTTTCCCTGTTTAAAATTTTCATTTTTCAAGGTTGTCTCAAATTGTGAAATTTGCTTACAAAAGGATGCATATGGCTATAATATTGTCTTTCTTTTGTCGTCCCTGGGATCAACATGTTGTGATGTTATTTATCTTGTATTTGGTCTTTGCCATATTCTAGGGGTCAGGTTGGTTTGCCTGATTGAAAAACCTTCCGTTGACAAAAAAATAAATAATATAAATAGAAGAATCCAGTTGTCTTAGTAGTTTGAATTCCTATTGTGTCTCTTTGTTTGTTGTATGGACATAGACGGTTGTCTTAGTAGTTTATTGTCACTAGACTATACATTAGGCCCCATAAGAGAGTGCGACCACCCTGGTCAATTGGTGTGACTTCTAAATAAATAAACACGTACATATAGTACTGGAACAAACAGATTGACTAAAAGTAAAAATGGTATGCTTCATGACAAAGGTGACTTGTAACGTATTGAATATGGTCTAAAAATGATCAGGACGGCATGTTTGGAACATGTTCTGTACAGGGTGTGTCATGGACTGTTTCACAAAGCTAATGCCCCATGCGTATGTGCTTAAGAGTTTGTGTACATTTGGTTTTTCAGAAGTTGGTTTGTGTATAAATATCCTTCTATGTTAACGCAGGATGGATTGTTCATAAAACCTTGCATGTCTGAAGGGTTCATGTAAGAGTGTCTTACAGGCTTGCCTGTAGTGAACCTCAAAATCTTTTAGAGTTAGAGGTATTCATCATGCATGCTTATGATGCATCAGTCTTGTTAACTTAAGCTTCTAGATGGAAGAAACTCATTCTGTGCAAGTGATTCTGAATGGCCTATGTTTTGTGATTATTTGCCAAAAGGTAGTGGGCTTAGGGAAGTAATATTCTTCAGGTATGTGTATTCTCTAGGTGCAAACATCTCTATTGCCGCTAGACTATAGATTACCCCCTATAAAAGAGTGCGACCGCATTGACTATTATCTATTACACCAATATGAAATGAAAGACATTGTATTTTTGGGGTTCTGAGTAAAGGAAGTCTAAAATAGGATAAAAATGATATGCTGCATTTTGACAAAAATGACTTGTAACAATTGGATATGGTCTCAAAATGATCAGGACCACATGTTTAAAGAATATTCTATACAGGGTGTGTTATGGACTGTTTCATAAAGCTAATGCCCCATGCACATGTGCTTACTGAGTTTGAGTACATTTGGATTTTCAGAAGATGTTTTGTGCATAAATATTATTCTAGGTGAGCTCAAGATGGATTGCTCGTTCAGTTCATAAAACCTTGCATATCTGAAGGGTTGATGTAGATTTGTCTTACAGGCTTGCATGTAGTGAACCTCCAAATCTTTCAGAATTAGAAGTACTGATCATTATGCTTGTTATGCATTGGTCTTATTGCCATAACTTAAGCTTCTAAATGGAAGAAACTCATTGTGTGCAAGTGATTCTGAATGGCCTATGTTATCTGATTATTTGCCAAAAGGTAGTTGTGGGCTCAGGGGAGGAGTATTGTCTAGGTAAAAAGCACATCTCCTGGAGATAAGACATCACTGTCCAAGCTTGGCCTTAAACCAGGGTGGTTAAAAACCATAGGATCATCAGATGGATTTTGATTTCATTTGAAAATTTTATAATGGCTTTCATAGTTTGTGTTTGAGATCTGCGATTTGGTCCATTTAGCTGTGTGATTATTTGGTTTTGAACTGTTGCTGGCAGGTCAAAGTTTTGTATTTAAACTTATTATCTTTGTAGTGGATGTTCTATATGCTTGAGAATCACATGCTGCCACTAAGAAAATCAATGTCAAATGCTTATCAAGATTTAGTTGATAAGAATGCAAGGGAAGTGGAACCTTTTAAGCATAGAATTACAAAGTTGTGCTTAGTTTCTCTTAACTTGGTGTCTATGCAACTTGATACAGTGCTTCCAAGCAATCCACATCAATCTGTAAAAAAATTATTGGCAACCAGATACTTTCCAATTAACCAATAATCCAGTTTGTCCAGTGGAAGTTGGACCGGTAATGTAAGCATCAACAATATGAACATGGCTTTCCTCACTAATGAGACATCCTTCTATGAAATATGGATAAAACTAGCAATGCTTAAGTTGGTAATTGTAAAGATAAACCTGTTCGAAATCCATTTGGGGATAGATCCTCAGATGTCTAAAGGAAATTGTCACCTACAGCATTCACATGACTTTTTTTTTTTTTTCCTTTCCTTTTTTGTTTTGTTTTGTTTTTGTTTTGTTTTTGGCCAACTTAGGAAAGGGGAGGGGGAAACTCACTCATATGGGCATGCTGATCGAAGGTGGGAAATGATACTGTGGAAAGGAACCAGACACATATATGATGACCGAAATTTATTTTCTTTTAGAGATTTTTATAAATATACCCCAATTCTACTATGAATATTATAAAGATACCCTGATTAATTCAATCTAGAGTTCGACCAACAAAAAAAATTCAATCTAGAGAAGTGAAAAACTCAAAATCATCCGCCTGTCATGTATTTATTAATATTTCATAGATGTAATTTCCTTTTTGTTCTTGTGTCGTGAAATTTAGACAAAGAAACTCACATCTTGCCAGTTTGGTTAAATTTATAAAAAAATGCCCACTAGTTGAGTTAGATTTAGAGAAAAAAGCCCACCAGCTGTCTTAATTGGGTTTATTTTGGGCTTCATATTGTGGGTTTTTCTTTTTCTTATGAAAAATTGGTTACAGTGTTGTAATTTATAGGTATTTGGAGTGTTTATTTGTTTTTGAAAATGGACTTTGGGTTTTTTTTTAAATAAAATTTTTATATGGGTTTTCTACTATTTTAACCCCCTCTATTGGGCTTGAATCTCAAGCTCTCTTTATTTTTATTTTTTTTCCATGTATTGGTCTTTTCCAACCGGTTTAATCATCTGCATAACTCAAACCGTCTTTATTGCCAAATTCTTTTTCTAATATAATGTATAAAGAGAAAATAATCTATTTTTTTTAAATAAAAAAAAGGAAAAAAAAATCACATGAGTTAGATAGCTGGGGTCCATTTAGACCAATTGCAATTGTTAAAATTTTAAATAAATATTTATATTTAAAAAAAACATGATAAATCTCCATGATAGGCCGGCAAAAATGGACCAACTGTCCAGTAATCTTTATTGGCTTATGTACTAGACCGACCCATATTATGGAAGGTCTTAACTCGGCTCATTGTCTAAAGGGTAGGAACTGGGCTTTAACGTTTTAAGCCCACAAACAGCCTGGCCTAGTCCGATAATTAAGTTAATAAATTTAAAAAAATTATAAAATAAGCTAACATCCCTTTTATTTAACTAAAAGATTTAAATGAAACTTATGATTCATTTAATACTAATATTAATTATCAATTCCATTCAATATTCTTATAAAGTGTGTTAGCTAGCTAAGTATATTGTATTCCAATATTTGTGTAAAAGTATTGGTGCCGTACTACCACTAGTGTAGCAGTAAGGAGTTTCGTCTCCACTCAGCTTGTCATGTGTTCAAGGCCTAACATTGTAAAGTGTATAAATTTGCACCCCCATCCCCCTTCTTAATTATTGGAGGGGAAAAAAACTTCTAAAAGTAAATTAATATTAATTATGGTTGCATTTAAATAATTATGACTACAATATTAGCTACTAGAGAGAGATGCAATTAACTTTGCAAGCAATTCACCACAGTATTAGCTAGACTTTATTCATGAATGACCACCCCACCCTCTCTTATATGTATGAGTGACAAATGAGATTATAATTCTAATTAAGGCTTAGGCTAATCCTGCTTAGCGTTGCGATGGCCCAGCCTAGCCTATTTTACAGGCCTACTCCAGGCCATGGCCTAACATTCACTTTATAATATCTTTGATTATAACAAAACATAAGGAAAACAAAACACTCGGTACTCTCAATCATGGATGGGGATTTACACGTTCCAAAATAGTGGTGTTGACAAAATAAGAAGTTTATTAATTTATCCTACATATTACATTATTTTGACTAAGTCTAAAATAAGGTTAGGGAGTGCATCAATTAAGTATAAATTTTTTTTTTACCTATCTATTAATCCTAACTGAATCATGTATGACATTTAGTGACCCTCCTCCTCACAAGATTCATCACTCCTCTGTAGGCAGCTTCCAACTCCTCGAGCTTATTTGATTTAGTCAGGTTTCGCAAGACACTACGACGTTCAGGTTATATTTCCTCATAATCAATTCGAACATGAAGATGAGTACGAGGACTATTGTATTCAATGACATGTTGTAGTTCTTTAATAGTGGAGACTTTCTTACAACACGTAAAGGGAACATCGCTCGGTAACAGGCTGAAATCCCACATGGGTTGAGCAACATGATTATAGCGTACTTGAACAAATACACTATCATGTTTGTCTCCGTCCTCTATTATTCTACGATAAATTTTTACCTATATTTTGATCATAACTGAATCATGTATGACATGTAGTGGCCCTCCTCCTCATTAGATTCTTCGTCACTACTCTGTAGGCAGCTTCCAACTCCTTCAAGCTCATTACTTTAGACAGGTTTCGCAAGACACTACGACGTTCAGATTATATTTCATCATAATCAATTTGAACATGAGGATGAGTACGAGGACCATTATATTCAATGACATGTTGTAGTTCTTTAATCGTGAAGACTTTCTTACAACACGTAAAAGGAACATCACTCAGTAACAGGCTGAAATCCCACATCGGTTAAGCAACATGATTATAGCTTACTTAAACAAATACGTTGTCATGTATGTCTCCCTCCACTATTATTATACGACAAATTTTTACCTATCTATTGATCATGACTAAATCATGTATGACATTTAGTGAACCTCATCCTCATAAGATTGTTCGTCACTCTTCTATAGACAGCTTCCAACTCCTTTGAGTTCATTTACTTTAGCCAAGTTTCGCTAGACACTACAACGTACAGGTTATATTTCCTCATAATCAATTTGGACATGAGGATGAGTACGAGGACCATTGTATGCAATGACGTGTTGTAGTTCTTTAATTGTGGAAACTTTCTTACAACACGTAAAGGGAACATCACTCAGTAACTGGCTGAAATCCCACATGGGTTGGGCAACAAGACTATAGCGTACTTGAATGAACACACTATCATGTCTATCTCCCTCTTAGATTATTCTATGGCAAATTTTTACTTATCTATTGATCAATTTGATCCTAACTGAATCATGTATAACATTTAGTGGCCCTACTCCTTATCAGATTCTTAGTCACTCCTTTGTAGGCAGCTTCCAAATCCTTCGAGTTCATTTACTTTAGACAGGTTTCACAAGACACTACGACGTTCAGGTTATATTTCCTTATAATCAATTCGAACATGAGGATGGGTAAGAGAACCGTTGTATTCAATGACATGTTGTAGTTCTTTAATCGTGGAGACTTTCTTACAACATGTAAAGGGAACATCGCTCAATAACAGGCTGAAATCCCATATGGGTTGGGCAACACGATCATAGTATACTTGAATAAATACGCTATCATGTCTGTCTCCCTCATCTATTATTCTACGATAAATTTTTACCTATTTATTGATCCTAACTGAATCATGTATGACATTTAGTGGCCCTCCTCCTCATAAAATTCTTCGTCACTCCTTTGTAGGCAGATTCCAACCCCTTCGAGCTCATTTACTTTAGTCAGGTTTCGCAAGACACTACAACGTTCAGGTTTTATTTCCTCATAATCAATTCGAACATGATGATGAGTAAGAGGACTATTATATTCAATGAAATGTTGTAGTTCTTTAATCGTTGGGACTTTCTTACAACACATAAAAGGAACATCACTTGGTAACCGGCTGAAATCCCACATGGGTTGGGTAACACGATTATAGCGTACTCGAACAAATATGCTATCATGTTTGTCTCCCTCCATTATCATTCTACGACAAATTTTTACCTATCTATTGATCCTAACTGAATAATGTATGACATTAAAATGAGCCTAGACGGGATGGACCTAAACGGGCTTAGGCGAGGCGGGCCTAAACTAATATAATGTGATAACCTAACTACTTGTTTAATTATATGTTGTAGCTATGGATCTTACTAATTTTGCCTACTTTTCACTTGCTCTCGATCTCCTAGTACACATACTACTTTTGGGCAATGGTCATGCAAGGATCTTGGAACCTTTGATGACTGGGGCTATTGCAGTTCTGATGATGACTGGATGTATTTATAATAGCCCACGCATGAAAGTATCTCCTTAAATTACTCATATAACCCCAAGCATGTGCTAGAAAAAAAAATTAAAACCTTTGCAATCGAACATTGTGCGTTATTCCTAGTTTTCCCCTTGACTCTCATGTCATATCTACCTAGTATGATTAACTATAATTTATTAATTTAGTAGCCTTCAATTTCTTTGTCAGCTGGCTTCATTGGCCATAATCCAGTTCTCTTACGAAGACAACATAATCATGAATATAGTAATAACTAAGTACATCGCGTTTTTCATTAATCATATATGAAAGATTACTCGGATCAGTTGAAGGGTGCAGATGCCGAACACGAAGCGGCCCACAATGAAGAAAGGTAAATATGACAGATACCTTATCATCAATGTGACTGCAAGAGTAAGAACCATTAGTAATAACTAAGTACATTGCGTCTTTCATTAATCGTATATGAAAGATTATTCGGATCAGTTGAAGGGTGGAGATGCCGAACACGAGGCGGCCCACAATGAAGAAAGGTAAATTTGACAGATACCCTATCATCAATGCAACTACAAGAGTAAGAACCATTAGTAATATCTTTCATTAATCATATAAGAAAGATTACTCGGATCAGTTGAAGGGTGCAGATGTCGAACACGAGGCAGCCAACAATGAAGAAAGGTAAATATGACAGATACCCTATCATCAATGCAACTACAAGAGTAAGAACCATTAGTAATAACTAAATACATCGCGTCTTTCATTAATCATATATGAAAGATTACTCGGATCAGTTGAAGGGTGCAGATGTCGAACACGAGGCAGCCAACAATGAAGAAAGGTAAATATGACAGATACCCTATCATCAATGCAACTACAAGAGTAAGAACCATTAGTAATAACTAAATACATTGCGTCTTTCATTAATCATATATGAAAGATTACTCGAATCAATTGAAGGGTGCAGATGCCTAACACGAGGCGGCCCACAATGAAGAAAGATAAATATGACAGATACCCACAATGAAGAAAGATAAATATGACAGATACCCTCGGAAAAAATTGGTCGCAAATGACTACTTTTTTTGTAGTGTCACCTCTGTCAGCCCTCACGCCTCTCTACATATACTTCTTCAGCCCCTGCATGCTTCTCCATCTATCCAATCTTTACACACATTCTAGCTCATTCCTTTTCTTCGATACATACACGACCTACCAAATTAATTCAAATCAGTTGCAAAGAAATGGGAGAAGCTGAATAAAAAATAAAAAATGATTTAATTATACTTGCTAAAACAGCATATGCCAAATCTTTAAACTAAAGAAATGAGACATCCCTGCTAACAACATTCTTTAGCTAGTTAATTAATCATGGTTAGTTTGGTTTCTTGGACCCTTGAAATAAGAATATGGGATTGAAAATCAAATGATCCTGTCTGTAATTATATATTTATTTTCACTAATGAAAGCAAGGCGAATTCCAGAGTCATGACTTTGTGTAAATTAGCAGCATATTATGCATGAGCCCAAGCAAATAAGCAGCTTGCCTAACCTGCATGTTTCTTCATCAATAATAATCTTTCTCTCTAAGTTGTTTTATGCATGTTTCTTACTCATATTCACCTAATTCGAGTATAATTAATATATTGATTCTTCTCCCTCTCTCTATTTATAGCTCTTTCTAACCTGCATGCTTCCAAGTTAAGCCGCCATATATACTTTGATCTCTTTTCTTCATACACACACAAAGTAAACTAGCTAGCCTAGCTGTATGTCTCTTTGGTTTGTCATATGCCATAAACATGAATTACTAACAACACGAATAAAAAGCATGCCGTAAATATCAAGTCATATAAGCTCCAATTTGGTGCAGTGCTTGTAAGATACGTAAATCACAGGATGAATTTTCAACTTATGGATGGGAGGAATTTGGGTGAATTTCTTCTTTAATTGTATCTTAAGTTGAGAGGTAATTTTGTTATTATCAACCCATCGCATATTTGGGCCAGTTTTCGGAAAAATAGAAAGGTATGATTTTGCATGTGTGCATTTGATGGGCTTCGTCAAATCTGCCAGGTCTTCTTCTTCGTGAGGAATAAGCATCTTACAAACCATAGCATGCGCAAAGCGTGATAACTGCGAAACACCTGAGGAGATTTGCCACTGCTATGCCTCGACGAGTGCCTTGAAGCGTGGCTTATATCGATTGTCAAATAAAAAACGACGGCTAGTGTTACAAGTGTGGAGTTTTTGTTTGACAATGGGGCCAAAAGTCTCCAAACGATACAGCAAATTAACAAAGTGATGAGGGATTCACTGAGACTCCCATGTTCTCAGCTTACGACCGCTAATCTCTCCTAAGCCGCGCTAAAAGATTTTACGAATTTTAGACCGCCTTCACATTCTTCTTCTCTATTTATACTTTTCCGAGCCTACATGCTTCTCCATCCCAAAATCTTCTAAGCACCCTTAGAAATCTCTCTCGGTCTCACTCTCTCTCTCCGTTTTTATACACTCCGAACAAACATCATGAAAGGCTTCATGGTTTTTCTACTGCTTGCCATGCTAATAGCTTCAGCCATCACTACTCTCTCTGCAATACCAGAAGAAGAAGAATCATTCTTCAATGAGGAAAACAATACTGATGCAAAGGACGAAACCAAAAACCAGTTTGGAAAAAGCACTTCTCTAAGAAGCCGCTTCCTTTCCTACAGCAAGTGTGGGACGAAATGCAATTACTCAGAGATTTGCTGCGAAGGTAAGTGTGTGAATCCGAACTCGGACAATGAAAACTGCGGCAGCTGCAACAACGCGTGCAAGAAAGGCACTTCATGTGCGTATGGAATGTGCAGCTATGCATGAACACTAATTATCATGACGCACCAGATAGATCACTGCTACTGGATCGAGAAGGAATAAGGATATTGCAATATTAATTGCGCAGCTATACTTTTATACATGAAAAATAATTTATAAGGACCCTTGAAATAAGAATATGGGATTGTGATCTGTAAATTATCATATGTCACTAATGAGAGAAACACGAATTCCAGAGTCATGACTTTGTGTAATTAGCAGCATATTATGCATGAGCCCAAGCAAATAAGCAGCTTGCCTAACCTGCATGTTTCTTCATCAATAATAATCATTCTCTCTAAATTGTTTTATGCATGTCTCTTGTTCATATTCACCTAATTCGAGTATAATTAATATATATATATATATATATATTCTTCGAAAACCCAACTTTGTTTGCTGCTGAGTTAACGTTTTGTGCCCCTTGGAATGAATTTAGGCCATGCAATATTATTATTCATAGAAAAAAACACATGCAATAATATTCCTCTATCACCTAGGGCTTCAATATTGATTCTTCTCCCTCTCTCTATTTATAGCCCTTTCTAACCTGCATGCTTCTTCATCCAAGTTAAGCAGTCATATATACTTTGATCTCTTTTCTTCATACACACACAAAGTATACTTGCTAGCCTAGCCGTGTATATTACATGATGATGAAATCTCTCCAAGTTTTCTTTATGATAGCCATGCTCATTATGGCTTTAGCCATTACTCTCTCTGCGACGGTACCAAATTAACCAAAGAGAAGCATTCTTCAGGCCAGGATCGTCAACAAGCCAGTTCCTTGCCTCTCAGTCGTCTCCAGGTCGGGATGGATGCGACCAAAACCCTCTTGCTTGTAAAGCCACTGAAGGCAGTGCGGGGACTGTGGAGTTGACATATCCAACTGTGGTTCTTGTGGGAAGAGATGCATCAGCTCAGAGATATATATCCTGCAACACTCATTGTATGAATCCAATGTCTCACAATCAAAACTGTGGCAAGTGCTCCAACCACTGCAAGTAATGCGCTTCTTGTGACAATGGAATGTGCGACTATGCATAGAAATATTATATATATAATATATATATATATATTAATATATATCTCATGAACCCCCAGATCTACTTATTCTCAATAACGATCAAATGACATATATATGCATGTGCATATAAATATATATACATATTGATCCATCTATATTTATTATTTTAGTCATTTAAGTATTTAATTGCATGTTGTTTTAATATAAATGATGTCTAAACTACAATATTTGAACTTTTAGATATAAGACGCATTTATTTGCTTCTTGAAAAGGCCTTTAATCTTTAATTTGAATTTTTTTTTCTTTTCCCCAATCCATCTATATTTAGTACAGTACTATTGTATAATTGAGAGAGAGAGAGAGAGAGTCCACGTATACATTATTAACTGGACTTTTAATCACAATGGCATTGGCAATGCAAAGAGGCCATACTTTTTTTTATTAACGTTTGGGCCATGACAATGCAAAGAAAATATGGCTTCTAAGTTCTAAGGGCTAGTTTGGCATTGATGTGCTTAAAAAAAACAGCTGCTTCTGCTGTGCTGTGAGAATAATCAGCTGTAAAATAAAGCTGCTAAGGTTTTGGTAAACGGTATTTGAAAAAGTTGTTTGAGTAGTCAAAGTGTTTGGTAAATTTTTATCAAAAGTGCTTTTATTATGTATAATGACACATTGGACAACATGCAATCACTCATGTTTACTTGTCATACGCATTGAATGCTTCTACTTTTCTCTAGCAGAGACTACTCCTTATGAGTCTCGCCTTTAGCGACTATCTGATCGCTTTATTGTGTTGAGGTTATTAGCCAAGACACTCACCCAACCGGTAGGTCATCGTGTCATTTAGGCTCATGCCTCACTCCTACTAGTCCAAGTACTGTTCTCATGTTGGTAGCAAGGAGTATGACACGATGCCTAGAACAAGCTAGCATCACACTCTGTGTCAAGTCTCGCTTTGATCCCATTTCGTTCTCGGCTCCGTGGCTTCTCGCATTCTTAGCCCCCGTGGCTTGTATGTCTCTCGGTTGTCCTCATGGTTATTTGGGTCCTCAAAACCTTTAGGCATCTTGATTAATAACTTTGACGGTTAGTGGAGAAAAAGTTATCGGTCGCACGTTAGCGTGGGCGGAGTGGAGCAGCTATAGTTGAGCGCCACTTCGCACGTTATTTGAACACTAAATCGAAGACGTACAGAGATCGAGCTTGAAACGATGAATATTTAAATAAATCGAAAAATGAAAATAATGTGCGAAGTGGTATAAATCAAGAATTAAAGACAACGAGGCCTCCTAACCACATGAATGCAGTATGGAACATGATTCTAAACTATAAGAAAATTCATAATCAAGCATTAGGAGTTAAGGCTTTAGAGAATCGCACCTTTGTAATGTCATAGAGAATTCAGCTTCAAAGCAATACGACTCAAGCAATAGTAGTCTTCTAGCGAACGAGGAGCTGAAGTTCTTGATTAACTGTGAGAGAGAATCCAGAAATTGTGAGAGAAAGAGATGGAGAGAGAGAAGTGATGAGAACGTTCAGGTCTGAATGAAAAACAAAGAGGAAATGTCACACCCCGGGATTGGGTCCATCGTAGCACAATATTGTCCGCTTTGGGCTCCCCTTTCTGCCCTCATGGTTTGGTTTCTGGGAACTCACGACCAACTTCCCAGGGGTCACCCGTCTTGGGATTGCTCTAGCATCAACTCGTTTAACTTCAGAGTTCCCATGACTATGAAGCCAGTGAGCTCCCAAAAGGCATCGTGCTAGATAGAGGTGGGGCTGTACATATAAGGCACATCACCCCCTCTTTGTTGGTCGATCTGGGATATTATAGGAAATTAAAAAAATCTTATATTTTTAGCAGATTGAAAATATATTGGAGGGTTTCGGGAAGAAAAAAATGAATTTATATATTACGACATACTCAGTCCGTATATATATATATCACGGTGTATATACAATCACGCCGTTAGAAAACACAAATTACCTTTTTAAGGCGTGTTTTCATATACCGTAAATATCAGTTATGAACGACACACATTACTCTCTTTTAAGGCGTGCTTTTTGTTAATGTATGGTTTTACTATTTCTTTTGGCTTCCTTGACACTTGTATAGGAGGTGTATGTAATTTATCAAGCTCAAGTCTAGATGGGTTAAAAAAAAAAAAAAAAAAAAAAAAAAAAAAAAAAAAAAAAAAAAAAAAAAAAAAAAAAAAAAAAAAAAAAAAAAAAAAAAAAAAAAAAAAAAAAAAAAAAAAAAAAAAAAAAAAAAAAAAAAAAAAAAAAAAAAAAAAAAAAAAAAAAAAAAAAAAAAAAAAAAAAAAAAAAAAAAAAAAAAAAAAAAAAAAAAAAAAAAAAAAAAAAAAAAAAAAAAAAAAAAAAAAAAAAAAAAAAAAAAAAAAAAAAAAAAAAAAAAAAAAAAAAAAAAAAAAAAAAAAAAAAAAAAAAAAAAAAAAAAAAAAAAAAAAAAAAAAAAAAAAAAAAAAAAAAAAAAAAAAAAAAAAAAAAAAAAAAAAAAAAAAAAAAAAAAAAAAAAAAAAAAAAAAAATTTGGTATTTGTTTGCTGGTTTTAGTGCCTGATTCACAGAAACCAATAGAACCAGTATATGCAACGTATGCAGAGGAGAGAAAACTCAGAGAGAATGAGAATGATTCAGTCTATTTTCTGTGTATTGCATCAGAGCCAAAATCACACTATGTGCATGACACAAACTGCCAAAAAACAGATCCTAAAAACTAGGACACAAGGACTCATCTCCAGCCATTCAAGGTCATTGGAGGCTATGATTCTTACACCTAGGCTAGAAATTGTTACAGCAGAAAATACTAAGACAGCTAAGAATGACAGCTGTAGAGTTTCCCAAAATAGTAAGAAAACTAGCTGTTAGACATATCCTATAACAGCTATTACTATAAAAGGAAAGTTCTTCAGTTCCTTCGATTTCATCATCCTATTCATTGTCAATCTGCAGGATTAACATCTGCAGCTTGATTCAAAACTAGTATGCAGCTTAACTCTCAACAGCCTCTCCTAAGCTGCTTACTGGTTTAACTCCAAGCTTCAACCTCAAATAATTGAATCGATCTTTGGGCAGAGCTTTTGTAAAAATATCTGCCAACTGTTCTTCACTTCTGCAGAATTTTATATCAATCACCCCTTCTTGTAAAGCTTCCCTTATGAAATGATACCTTCGGTTTATGTGCCTTGTTTTCTGATGGAAAACAGGATTTTTGACCATTGATATTGCTGACATGTTGTCACAAAACAATGGTGTTGCATCAGATTGCATTTCACCAAAATCATCCAACACAAACCTTAGCCAGATAGCTTGAGCTGTTGCCTCAGCTGCTGAAACGTATTCAGCTTCTGCAGTTGACAATGCAACTGTGTTTTGCTTGACTGAAGCCCATGAAAAAACTCCACTACCAAAACTGAATGCATATCCAGATGTGCTTCTACTGTCATCTTCACTGCCAGCCCAATCAGAGTCACAAAAGCCAACCAGAACAGCATTATTATCCCTTGTAAATTCAATGCCATAGCTGAGAGTGCCTTGAATGTATCTAAGAACCCTTTTTGCAATTCCCATGTGCTTCTTTGTGGGGCTGTGCATGAATCTTGATAACAAACTGGCTGCAAACATTATATCAGGCCTGGTTGCAGTCAGATACAACAGGCTGCCAACAATTTTTCTAAACAAACCTTCATCAGCCAAATCACTTCCATCAACTTTCTTTAATCTTTCACCAGTGGGTAGAGGAATTGTTACTGACTTACAATCCTCGAGACCAAATTTCACAAGCAAGGACTTTGCATACTTGCTTTGATGAATAAACACTCCATTTTCAGTTTGTAGAACTCCCATTCCCAAGAAATGATGTAGGAGTCCTAAATCAGTCATTTCATACTTTTGCATCATGTCCCTTTTAAACTCACTGAGCAAAGCATTACTGTTTCCAGTATAAACTATATCATCAACATATATAGAGACAATGATCAGTTTTCCTTCTTCATCAGTTCTGGTATATAAGGTGGCCTCACTGGTGCTTCTTTTAAAATTGCAGCTAGTTAGATAGGTGTCTATTTCACTGTACCAGGCTCTGGGAGCCTGCTTCAAACCATAGAGGGCCTTCTTTAATTTATAGACCTTATGACTTGCTGTTTTCACTTCAAACCCCTCTGGTTGCTCAGTATAAACCTCCTCCTCAAGTACTCCATTCAAGAAGGCTGACTTAACATCTAATTGAAACAACTTCCAACCCTTTTGTGCTGCAAGTGCAATCAAAGTTCTGATTGTATCTAACCTTGCCACTGGGGCAAAGGTTTCATTATAATCAATACCAGGTTTTTGAGCATACCCTTTAGCCACAAGCCTAGCCTTGTGTTTTTGAACTGTCCCATCAAGATTCAACTTGGTTTTGAACACCCATTTGACTCCTATGACTGGTTTATCTGTAGGCCTTTCCACTAGCTCCCAAGTTCCATTCTTTTCAATAGTTTCTATCTCAGCATCCATTGCTTCCTTCCATGCTTTGTCTTCAACAGCTTCATAATAAGTTTCAGGTTCAATAATGGTCATGTGACATCTTGCATAAATGTCCTCCAAACTTCTCAGCTTCACTGGTGTATTGCTTGGAGTTGACCCTTGACTGGTGCCACTGCCATTTCTCTCAGAGACATGTTCATCATCTGAGATTAATTTATTCAGATTTGGTGAATCAATGCTGTGAGTTTCATGAGAGGCTGTTTCTGTTTCAGCTATCTCAGAATTTCCATTTTCAAAGATGAGAGGCACAGAGACAGTTTCATCTTGCTTGCTTTCCCAATTCCAGGATTTGTTCTCATCAAAAACAACACTTCTAGAGAGTATAATCTTCTCAGTTTGAAGATTATAGACCCTGTAACCCTTCTCACAGCTGCCATAACCCATAAAAATTCCTTTGCTTGCTTTGTCATCAAACTTCTGTCTAAGGTTTGATGGAATGTGACTGTAACATATACTTCCAAACACTCTCAGGTGTTTTGCACCTGGTTTCCTTCCTGTGAAAGCTTCAAATGGAGTTTTGTCTGAAACTGAAGTAGTATAGCACCTGTTTTGCAGATACACAGCAGTACCAACTGCTTCAGCCCAGAACTTTACAGGGATTTTCTTCTCAGTCATCATTGATCTTGCCATTTCACAGATGGTTCTGTTTCTTCTCTCAGCAACCCCATTTTGCTGAGGTGAGTAGGCAATAGTCAGTTGCCTCTCCATGCCAAGATCACTGCAAAACTCAAGGAATTCATGTGAAGTGTACTCTCCACCTCTGTCACTTCTTAGTTTCTTTAAGTTGAATCCACTTTGTAGCTCAACAAATGCTTTGAACTTTTTGAACACACTTATCACACTTGACTTGTTTCTGAGAAAATATACCCAACACATTCTTGAATAGTCATCAATGAATGTGATGAAGTATCTATTTCCTCCAATGGACTCATTTTGCATTGGACCACATACATCCGTGTGTATCAACTCAAGTGGATGCTTAGCTCTCCAAGACTTCTCATTTTCAAATGGTTCTCTGTGGCTTTTACCATACACACAGCCTTCACATACTCCTTCTTTTTCTGAGAAATCAGGTAAGCCTAGCACCATTTGTGTTTGCTGCATTTTTTTCATGCTTGCAAAGTTCAAATGCCCCAATCTCCTATGCCAAACCCATGGATCTACTTGTACTGCTGCTTTCATTCCCATTGAGCAGATAGATTCCATAGACAATGGAAAGCATCTATTTCCAGCCATTGCTACTTTGGCAACAACATTATCAAGGCTGCTATCATCACATATTAATGCATAGTTTCCTCCAAATAGAATGTAGTACCCATGCTCCATCATTTGTCCTACACTCAACAAATTCTCATCCAGACCAGGGACTAACAGCACCTCATTTATATATCTTCTCCCTTTTCTTGTCTCAACTACTAGTGTCCCTTTTCCTGTGGCTTGAACAAGGTCACCAGTGCCCATTTTCACTTTGCAGGTCACTGACCTATCAAGATTGATCAACAAGGACTCTTGAGAGGTCATGTGATTGCTGCAAGCACTGTCGACAAACCACACAGACTTGCTTGATGCAATTGAGCTTGCATGACAAGCATAGAACATTGTTCCTGTGGTTACTTCTTCCTCTTTTGCACAGTTTGCAACTTGTTTACCACTTTCACAGTCCTTAGTTAAATGACCAAATCGACTGCACTTTCCACACTTGGGTTTTCCCTTATATCTGCATATACCAAAATGGTATTTCTGACACACTTGGCACTGTGGTTTCAAACCACCTTGACTACTACTCCCTTGCTTGTTTTGTGAATTGAAGCTGCTGTTCCAATTCCCTCTAGAGCCATTATTGTTGTTAAAATTTCCACCTTGAGACCAATTTGAGCCCTTTTTGTTTTGTCCTTGCCATTTTTGATTTTGCTTTCCCTGAGAACTTTTGTTAGCTCCAGAAGCTTGATCATTTCCAACTCTGAGACTGCTAAAAGCTTTCTCAGTTCCTGCCAATTTGTCCCTTTCATCATGCAAATCCTCTCTCTTATCATAAACCTTGACAGATGCAAGAATTTCTTCAACTCTAATAGTGTCAAGATCTCTGGTTTCTTCAATGATTGACACTATGGACTTGTACCTCCTACTTAGACTCATCAACAATTTTTGGACAATCCTTTTCTCTGTTACATCTTCTCCTAGAGATTTCAGGTTGTTTACAATTTCAAAAAAACGAGCCAAGTAGTCATCCAGAGATTCAACATCATTCATTCTCAAATATTCAAAGTCAGCTCTAATAGCTTGTAATTTCACAGCTCTTACCTTTTTATCTCCTCTGAACTCTCTTCTTAGAATTTCCCAAGCACCTTTTGCAGTCTTCTCATTTCTGATGCGAGGAAAGAGTTCATCTGTCAGTGCTCCTTGAATAAGACTCAAAGCCTTGGCATTTTTGATCTTATCTTCTCTGGAGATAGTAGGTGCTTCCACTGGGATTTGCTCAGCCTCACTCCCTTCATCTCCAGTGCCTTCAGAGCCTGCTTCCTGCTCAATAATCGGCTGTGGTTGTATTCCAATCTCCACTGCATCCCATAGGTCATATGCTATGAGGATAGTCTCCATTTTTACTGACCAAAAATCATAGTTTGAACCGTTGAACTGTGGAGTTCGTAAATCTCCACCTGCAGAACCTGAACCCACCATTTTGATGTGAGTCTCAGTGAACCACACAATAAAAGAGCAACCTTTATCCCTTATAGAGATTTCAGGAAAACCCCCTTTCTCACAGCTCACTCCCCTTCTCTGAAATCAGACCAGAAGCTCTGATACCATGTTAGAATTTGGTATTTTGTTTGCTGGTTTTAGTGCCTGATTCACAGAAACCAATAGAACCAGTATATGCAACGTATGCAGAGGAGAGAAAACTCAGAGAGAATGAGAATGATTCAGTCTATTTTCTGTGTATTGCATCAGAGCCAAAATCACACTATGTGCATGACACAAACTGCCAAAAAAAACAGATCCTAAAAACTAGGACACAAGGACTCATCTCCAGCCATTCAAGGTCATTGGAGGCTATGATTCTTACACCTAGGCTAGAAATTGTTACAGCAGAAAATACTAAGACAGCTAAGAATGACAGCTGTAGAGTTTCCCAAAATAGTAAGAAAACTAGCTGTTAGACATATCCTATAACAGCTATTACTATAAAAGGAAAGTTCTTCAGTTCCTTCGATTTCATCATCCTATTCATTGTCAATCTGCAGGATTAACATCTGCAGCTTGATTCAAAACTAGTATGCAGCTTAACTCTCAACAGTGGGTGCCTGCTGTGGCTTAGTGAGCTGATTGATTACATCAGTGCATGACCTTTTGAGCCTGAGAGGCAACCGTTTCGAGTCTATCCTCGGCATCTTGTGCTTTAGACTTTAAAAAATCGGCCTAGGCGGGGCGGCTGGGCGGCTAGGCGGGCGCTAGGCGGCTAGGCGGCTAGGCGGCTGGGCGAGCCTCCTAGGTGGGTTGGGTCTTTTTTCGGTGCTGAACCCGGAGGACGAAGAAGCCGAAACCGAAGAAAACAAATCGAAGCTTGAGTTGATAGAGAAGCAAAACTTCGACTGCAACCTCCGTCCTCTACGGCTAGGCGGGCGCTAGGCGGCTGGGCGGGCCTCCTAGGCGGGTTGGGTCTTTTTTCAATGCCGAACCCGGAGGACGAAGTAGCCGAAACCGAAGAAAACAAATCGAAGCTTGAGTTGATAGAGAAGCAAAACTTCGACTGCAACCTCCGTCCTCTGCGTGTTCAAGCTTCGTGTTCGTTTGGAATATATTTAAAGAGGAGAGCCGCGCGGCTATAATTTTAAAATATTCGAATGTGTTTAGAAAGTATAGCCGACCGGCTATACGTTTAAAATATTCTAATATACGTTTCCTAATCATAAATCAGAGGTCTTAATCTACATATTTTAAAAATATTGAGTCGTTTTATTGTCGAATACTAGCCCATTATAGACTCCCAATCTGTCCTTGAATACAGTTTGATAAAACATCTGATCTTGACCCAGTCCACTTCATAAAGCTGTTATATATTTTTCATAATATGGTTATTGTGATATATGAATAATTTTAGGATTGCATTGGAGATATTGATGGTACACATATTCCGGCAATGGTGAGGGGACGAGATGTAAGCAGTTATCGTAATCGTCATGAAAAGATATCACAAAATGTATTAGCTACTTGTAACTTTGATTTGGAATTCATGTACGTTCTTAACGGGTGGGAGGGTTCAACTCATGATTCAAAGCTACTAAATGATGCTTTATCAAGGAGGAATGGACTTAAAGTGCCCCAAGGTAAGTACTTATTTTAAATGATAAATATTTTTTTTTAAAACTTTTCATACTAATTTTATATGTATTATATATATAATTAGGTAAATATTTCCTAGTGGATTGTGGATTTCCTAATCGGCGCCAATTTTTAGCTCCATTTCGAGGTGTGAAATATCATCTCCAAGATTTTGCAGGTCATGGTAATGACCCTCAAAATGAAAATGAATTGTTCAATCTTCGCCATGCATCATTGAGGAATGTGATTGAGAGGATATTTGGCATTTTTAAATCACGATTCACAATTTTTAAGTCAGCGCCTCCATTTCCATTTAAGACACAAGCAGAGCTTGTGTTAGCATGTGTAGCACTACACAACTTTCTTCGCAAAGAGTGTTGTTATGATGAATTTCCAATTGAACCAGTAGAGGAATCTTCTTCATCTTCAGTATTACCAGTTAATGAAGAAGAGAATTTGGAACTTATTATTCAAACCCAAGAGCAGCAACGAGAAAATGCTAATGCATGAAGGGCTACCATAGCTTTAGATATGTGGAGAAATGCTACTTAGGAGGACATGAAGCTACATCAAATTGGCTATTAAAGATTGGGAAAACTTTATTGAATTTTACTTTTCTAAATGGGTCAGCACGACAAGGCCCGGTAAATTAAATAGGTCAGCCTAGCACGGCACAAATACCTTAAAGACACAAATTTAAATGGACTTACACCTCTTGCTCCCTCTCCCTCCTTAAAAATCAAATCATAGTGGCATGTGACTGCAATACCGTGGTGGTGATAATGATGGGCATGCTTTGCTTGCTTATGTGCACAATCACGGTTTGGACTAGAGATGTCAAATAAAACAAGACAGCACTGCATGAGCCCGGTACATTTAAATGTGGATTTTGGCTTTGGCCTGTGCTGGAATCAATGGTTTTACTAAATGGATTCCCACGAAATTATAAAATATAAAATAATAAAATAATAAAAAATAGAAGAAAGAAGAAGAAAAAATTGAACTTGATTTACTGTGAAATTGCTATCTTTTCAATATTTGCTTTGGATATGTTGAAACTAGCAAATTAATAACTATAAAGTATAAACTAATGGAAGTAGGCCACAAAATTAATAAATATCACAGCAGAGTTAAAACATGAGGAAACATGTTGCTCAGAACAGCATCACACAATGGTCAAAAACGACACAAAACACATGCTCTCTAAAGAATTTGAAAATTCTAGACTGGTTTCTCCTATCACTAACTGAGTAAGTGAGTATGATTGAAGTACTTGTAATTGCATACCCTATAACACGTGCACATTGCAGTGGCATTTTAGGAGATCCTTCCTCACACAATTTGGGAACTTCATGAGTCTTTGCCCCAAATCTGAAGCACCTGCCTTCTTTTGTTGAAAATGCTTTAAAAGAAGGACCGACTTCGAATTCATTGAGATCCCTTTCACTATAAGAACAAGGTTTTTGAGCTTGAGGCAATGACCCTTCACCACTTAGCATTAGAACTGTAAATGGCATGCTCGGGCTATCTCGTGGGTTATGCTGCACACATAAAGACCTACATGCATGAAATAATCTCACAACTTCATGTGGATCACCTGAGCCTCTAAATAGCTTTCAAAGCAAACAGAAGTCTTTACCACAATCCACAGTACCACATAGAGATTCAAAATTGTCTTTAAAGTCGAAATAGCCATTTCGTACTACACATAATAAATATCACACAATGGTTAAAAACGACAAAAAACACATGCTCTCCAAAGAATCTGAAAATTCTAGACTGGTTTCCCCTATCACTAATGGCTAAGTGCATATGATTGAAGTGACTGTAATTGCATACCTTATAACACGTGCACATTGCAGTGGCATTTTAGGAGATCCTTCCTCACGCAATTTGGAACTTCATGAATCTTTGCCTCAAATTTGAAGCACTTGCGTTCATTTGTTGAAAATGCTTTAAAAGAATGACCGACTTCGAGTTCATTGAGATCCCTTTGACTGTAATTGACATGCTCAGCCTATCTCCCGAGTTACGCTGCACACATAAAAGACCTACATGCATGAAATAATCTCACAACTTCATGTGGATCACCTGAGTCCCCTATTGATGTATCAAGCACTTCAATGGACCAGCCTTCTGTGTATAGCATCCATGACTAAAAGAATTTATCAAAAGTTCAAAATCATTGTGCTTACTTAAAAGAAGAAACAAAAAAAAGGCAATGAGTAAATCCTATGTTTCTCTTCCCACTCACTATCTCTAGCATCCACCCACCAAAACTATAGACATCGGATTTTAGCGAGTAGAACCCATCAATTTTGTATTCTGAGGACATGTAACCACTACAAACTAGTCAATCAAGAATTAAGTTCATAAGCAAATCAAGTATACTATATGTATGTATATTGGTTCTTTTGTGATATATGCTTACTATGTTGCAACCACTTTAATGAAAATGTCTTGTTCCTGTTACTTGGAAAGAGTCAATTTCCCCTCTCTTTCGATCTGAGTTTCTAATTTTTTTTTGTTTGGCTTGGTTCCTGGCATTACAAGGTAGTCTTTAACCCACCAATGAATTCTCCAGGTGTGGCTGCATCAAGGATGAAGCCTCCCCTAAAGAAAGAAACATCAATGAAGCTTTTGAGAGCACTTAATTAACTTGATATATGTAAATATGTAAAACAGCAGCCATGACAAAACAGTGCATTCAGAACATCAACATAGGATGCAAAAGCGATCCCACTGGAAGATTTAAGTTGAAAGAAAAAAAAACCACACATATTCTCAAGCAACATTTTTCTGTTCAACTTATAATACCAAACAATATATGAACTCTAATTCAAATCACAACATGAGTTGTTGAAATCATGATAGAATACACATATGTAACATCTTAAAAGGAGAAGTTACCCAATTCCAAGGAGCATCTCGAGCAGGAAGATTTGAAGGCTTTAGACTGAGACTAGCAAAAATATTCACGAGATCTCTTTCTTCACTATCTGCATGATTATGTTCAACAGCACAAACATTACCACATAAACGAAGGAAGGTAGGTTCAATAAATGACAAGGCAACAAAATTACCAACCACAGTCACAACTGTGCTACAATTTCAATGTTGCGAAGACATATACTCTTAACTTGTTAGAAAAGAATTGGACACCCAAAAATAACACCTAAATATATTACCAATTTTATTAAACTTAAAAGAAGACTTAAAGTATAACCAATTCTGCAGTTCCAAAATAAATAAAATAATACATTGTAAGTCATATCCCTTGCCTGGACTGGAAATAGGTGATGGGTGCCTCATTGTTGAACTGTGCGTGGCTCCTTTACTATTTTGGACTCCATCTTCTTATAAGAAGACATCCGTTAATTGCTTCTCCCCAATATGCTCATTTCCAGAAGCTACAGAAGTCTTTGTTTCTCCTATAACTGAGATAAGAAATCATAAGCATTGCACATATAGCATCCATTTACCATAGGAATAAAATGCTATCTTCACACTTTTAATAACACATCCAAAATATTTTGAACATAAAAAGCTGAGTAGATACAACAAGTCTGTCTCAACACTTTTACTAACCCAATTCTATTGCATGAACTCTACAATAAGAGCAATTTATAATTTTTCTTTTTATAAGAAACACAAATTTAAGTTACATACTTCCATTAAAACAAAGAAAGAGGATCATGATGTAGAAGGCCAAGTTGATAATAATAGTGAAGATTATTTGTACCATTCCTTATACTCAGTTCTGATGATTTGACTTCAGTAGCAGGCAAAGTTGCATCTACTAGATGGTCACTGGACTGGAACCATATTCCTTTGAATTCTGCTAACCACGAGGAGCCTTTGGTTCCGACGAAGACATAAGAGCAACCAATTGCACCACTAAGAGTATATCAAAAAGCAAAAACTTTCACTATCTAGCATGTATTCAATCATCCATATATACAAGGGGAGAATGGAGATGATGTGGCTCATAGAATCAAAGCACATTAGGTAAAATGGAGGGTTTTGTTAAGCATATATGTGATCATCCTATTTTGCTAGAATTGAAAGCTAAGTTTATAGAACATCTGTTAGACCAGCCATGCTATATGGGACTGAATGCTGGACGGTTAGAAAACAGACATGTTCATAGTTCCTGTAGGTACATAGTAGCCAAATGTTATAACCAGCACAGTGATATGCACACCTCTATCTCTGTTTCTCTAACGGCATATTAGCGATTCTTAGACACAAATTGTTAAGAGATCAGATTAAAATATTTGTCATATTTTGAATCCTTCAAAATTGGAAATGTTTGCTGAATAATCTTTACTATGCTCCAAAATTGAAGGGTCATTGCCTCAACCTTAAAAGCCTGGTTTTTATAGTGAAAGGGATGTCAATGAACTCGAGGTCTATCCTTCTTCTAAAGCATTTTCAGCTAATGAAGTCACAGTCCTTTTACACTAATGGAGACTCGATAAACGATATTTCATGTTGGTATGATCACCTGGTGCTTTTGAAGTCAGTTTGAAAATTGGTATGTTAATCTGGTGCTTTTGAAGTCAGTTTGAAAAGTTCAATATAATTAAGAGATTCCCAACCCATGCGTTAGCAAATGTACCCTCTAATATTTTTTATTTGTTTTCTTTGGAGTTGAGGTGGAGTTCACATAACAGAAACACAGATGTTGATACAAGAACAAATATAAAAGCTTAAATGAATTAGATTTTCACTGGAGGTGGTGTAATATATCAATTTTTTTTTCTGTTCTTTCGTGGGTTTGTTTTGGGTTCTATGCAACAGGAGGAGGAGACAAATCTTTCTTCTTCTTTTTTTCTCTCAGCAAACAAGAGGGCATGATCAAATGTCAAAATCTATAACAGAAATGAAATATCCAAAGAATGAAAAGCGGTCCAACCAAGAAGAAACCAGCAAATATTAGTGAATCAGCAAAACTTATGAATTTAGCAAATAGAGAACCTGAAGCCAGTTTCAAGCAGAAAAAACTTACTTGTGTAATATGAAGAGCCTGCTCAAGCCACTGAATTTGAATCCATTGTTCTGTAACAATGTCAGCCATCTGAAAGCAAAGAGAAAGAAGCCAATGGCAAAATGAACACCACACTAACAACATCACACATTCATAGCCATAGACCAAAGATGGATTGAGTACATCAGTGAATGACCTTGTGAGCCTGAGAGGCAACCATTTCGAGTCTATCCTCGACATCTTGTGCTTTAGACTCTAAAAAATTGGCCTAGGCGGGCGCTAGGGTGCTAGGCGGGCGCTAGGCGGCTAGGCGGGCGCTAGGCGGCTGGGCGGGCCTCCTAGGCGGGTTGGGTTCTTTTTTCGGTGCCGAACCCGGAGGACAAAGCAGCCGAAACCGAAGAAACCAAATCGAAGCTTGAGTTGATAGAGAAGCGAAACTTCGACTGCAACCTCCGTCCTCTGCGGCTAGGCGGGCGCTAGGCGGCTGGGCGGGACTCCTAGGCGGGTTGGGTCTTTTTTCGGTGCCGAACCCGAAGGAAGAAGCAGCCGAAACCGAAGAAAACAAATCAAAGCTTGAGTTGATAGAGAAGCGAAACTTCGACTGCAACCACCGTCCTCTGCGAGTGCAAGCTTCGTGTTGGTTTTGTATATATTTAAACAGTATAGCCGGACGGCTATAACCTTAAAATATTCAAATATATTAACATTTCAAGCGTATAGCCGAATGGCTATACTTTTAAAATATTCGAATGTATTTACAAAGTATAGCCGACCGGCTATACGTTTAAAATATTCTAATATATTTGGCGAGTATAGCCGTTCGGCTATACTCTTTAAATATACAATTTTGTAATATCATTTTGAGGTTTGGGGCTGAAATACCCCTTCAGTCCATTGGACTAGAGCTATTTCTTCAAAAAAAAAATTTGGTGAAGAAACGAGACTAACGCCCAACGAAGAAATTAAACAATGGCTCGATGCCTACAGACTGCAAGTAAATCTTGACTAAGAAATGACCTAATACTGTCAGGAGGGTCATGGAAGTTTGAGAAGCCCAACTCAAGACATGAACCCAATTCAACTAGTTTATCCGCTACCAAGTTGAACTCCCGATACACATGATGAATAGAACAAGCCCAGTTTTTGTTTATATACTCTTGGCATCCCCACATTTTAGTTAAGCAGGTGTATCGCGGTCCCTGAGTCAGACTCAAGCACAACTGCACTCCAATGAATTCTCCAGGTGTGGCTGCATCAAGGATGAAGCCTCCCCTAAAGAAAGAAACATCAATGAAGCTTTTGAGAGCACTTAATTAACTTGATAAATGTAAATATGTAAAACAGCAGCCATGACAAAACAGTGCATTCAGAACATGAACATAGGATGCAAAGGCGATCCCCACACATATTCTCAAGCAACATTTTTCTGATCAACTTCTAATACCAAACAATATATTAACTCTAATTCAAATCACAACATGAATTGTTGAAATCATGATAGAATACACATATGTAACATCTTAAAAGGAGAAGTTACCCACTTCCAAGGAGCATCTCGAGCAGGAAGATTCGAAGGCTTCAGACTGAGACTAGCAAAAATATTCACGAGATCTCTTTCTTCACTATCTGCAAGATTATGTTCAACAGCACAAGTGTTACCACATAAAGGAAGGAAGGTAGGTTCAATAAATGACAAGGCAACAAAATTACCAACCACAGTCACAACTGTGCTACAATTTCAATGTTGCGAAAGATATATACTCTTAACTTGTTAGGAAAGAATCGGACACCCAAAATTATATATATACTAAAACTGAATCCAGGAATTCACTGTTCCTAGACTGTAGCTTAGCAATAGTGAAGTGACGTTTGTGTCCCTCTCTTTTTACTGTTTGCACACTCATTTTTCTCATCAGAACAGTGAAATCACGGTTTTGTCCTTAATTAATTAGTTTCGTCTCTTTCCCGTTTTGCCCCCCGTCTCCTTCGATGCCTACATCTGGAATGTTCGACGTTTTTGCAGAACCATCTGCCCAAGCCTTCAGTTTTCGTTTCCATCGTTCGCCCCCTTCGTTGCCTTCTTCTTTCCGTCCGGTTCCATTGTTCACCTGTTTCCCTGCCTTCTTCTCTTTTGATTCGAAAATCAATCTCTATCTAAAAGCTGTGCGCACGGGTAACGCCGCCGTCGGCGTACGTGGCACCGACACCATCGTTCTCGGCGTCAAAAAGAAGTCCACAGCAAGCTCCAGGACTCCAGGTCCATCTCTCTCTCTCAAACAATGTTTTTCTGTGCTTTGATCTAACAGATTGAAAATGAGGTTGGGTTTAGGGTTAGGGTGCAAGAAAAAAACAGAGTAAATTTTGATGATTCAGAAAAAACAGTAATTAATTTTCTATTTTATATTTTGATTTGTATTTGTGACTATTTGATTACGCAGGCATACTTACTAACCATTTGTTTGTTTGTCCTTGAATTGCGAATCCTCAAGTGATTTACAGGGCCTGTTTGGAATTCAAAGGAAAATTGAGCAAATTGAGTCATTATTATGCTTGGATTCAACAGGTGTTTTTCTCTCATTTCCCCACAATTTTTTCCCTTTTTCAATCTTTTGATTCTTATTATTGAATGGGTGTGTGAGTAATGTTGGGTTCAGATTGTACATAATGTGTTTATTGATTTTGTAACGGTGGATTTGATTTGGAAAGGAAAGAGAGCATCTTTGTCAACATCAGACAGTCTATGTGTTCTTTTCTTACTATGATGACTTCTAATGATGTTGATGACTGATGGAGAGGGAAAAACAGAGGAGAATGGTATGTGTATAGAGTTGTTTTTTTCATTGAAATTATGATTTGGATATGTGGTAGGATTGATTTTTGATTGAATTGAAGAACTGCGTATGTGTTCTATTAAAAATTTCATTATGGTTATGAACCAGACATATCCATAATCAATTATAATGAATCGTAGAAACAATTGTACTAATTCATTAATCAATTATAATGAATGATGTTAAAAAAGAAAATAGTTAGTCTTGACCAAAAGTTGATATATTAAAGCTAATGAACTAATCAACCAAAAACTGACGCATAAAAGCGTGCTCAGGGACCAATGTTGCTTTTCATATTTGATTTTCAAGTCTATTGGTGCTCAAGGACCAATCCTGCTTCTGATATTTTGTTTTCAACTGATTTGCTTAGAAAAATAGAAAACAAGTTTGATTTTTTGCAATCTCTGTTCATAAATGAGTAATTGTTGATGGCGCTTCTTTTCTTTTTCTTTCTTTTGGCCTTTTTGGGTGTTGTTTCTGTGTTTTGTCTGTTTGGTTGCGGATGCCTTATCCACCTTTTCAATATATCGTTTCTCTTTAGAAAAGAAAATCAATATTCAAGACATCTTTGCTCCAAAATAATGTATGCATGCATTAATTTTGGTAAACTAAATTGAGTTTATGCTTATGGGATTAAATATTTTTCCATATTTTTGTTGCACTGTTTCTTTTCTTATTCTTATATGCAGGGATGATGATTTGTTTTCTTTTCATTTCAGTTTTAAACAGATTTACAGTTCTTTTCTCTTGCTTAAATTTGTGAAATATATGTATATGGAGAGCCCATATTAAGAAATGGCAGTTACGCATTATGTCGCCTTTTTATTGGGTTTAACGATGGAGTACAATGTGTTCATTTGATGTTTTTAGCTGAGATTGTGATCAATTTCATTTTGTGGATTTTCAGGTTTTGCAAGATGATAGTAGTGTATGAGAGCGTCAAGAGGAGGCTGTGAGTAGAAGGCGGTTCTTTGTAGGCTAGACAAGGTTGAAAATGGTTTTTATTTTATTTTATTTTCCTGTTTTTGTAGAACCCTTTTTGTTCACTTATTCTCCCCGAATATTTGCCTAAAGTAGTTAAATAAATTATTGCAACTATTCAAAACTATATATATGTTTGGTATTATATCATGTTGCGTACGAATTGAGCAATGAAAAGATGAATGATCAGTTACAGAGAAATAGGTGGTGCAAATGTTACATTTGTATTTTTTTTGGTTTCATTCTTTTATTATACTAATGCCTCATTGCCTTTTTTTTTCCTTTTATGATGTGTCTCTGGAACCAGCAAAAGTTCCCTCTTTGGACTTGCTCCACTTGAAGCAGTGCTATTTGATATTGATAGAACTCCATGTGATTTAGATCCCATTCATTTCAATGCCTTCCACAAAATGCTTCCATAGGTAAAGTGATTGTTTGTTTCCTACTATTCTGTCAGCAAGAAAATATGCAGGATTTATTTGGTCATAATTTGACATTTTTCTTGGGTTTTATGGACTACAATGTGTTCATTAGAAAGCATTAGTTCATTTGGTGTTTTTAGTTGAGGTTGTGGTGATTTTCATTTATTTTCTTTTGTGGCTTTTCAGTTTTTGCAGATGTTAACAGTGTACAAGAGAATCAAGAAGAGGCTGTGAGTAAAAGAGGTTCTTTGCAGGCTAGACAAGATTGAAAAAGGTTTTTTTTTCTTTTCTTTTTCCTGTTTTTGTTCAAAACTTTTTGTTCACTTATTGTCCCAGAATATTATGCTCAAAGTAGTTAAATTTCTGTCCAAAATGTTTTATTTGTGTTTCTTGATTTGAATGAAAGTTTGGTATTTCATCCTTTTTTAGGAATTTTCTTTTAAATTTGGTCATAGCCAACTGCTATTATACCATTTTTAATAATTTGTTACAAACTTGATTTTAACCTATATATGTATTTGCTTGAACATTAATTTCTCACAGTTAACACAAGTCTTATTGATCAATTCTTATCATTAATTCTGCAATCTACCATATAGGCTAATCACATCATTTTATATTTCTTGAGTTGTAGGTATTGTGCTACAAATTTCAAGTGGAACCAAGTGTTATTCTACTAAGATTTGTAGATGTTGTGACATAAATGGCAATACAGTTTATTTTTGAACTATATCAGCTTACTTCCTCATTGGATGAACTTAGTCTATAAATGGCAATATATGTATCAGTTTTGACCATAGGTATCTATAGATTTTCTATGCTTCTGTACAACAAACTTGGGCAAGGTTTGATTCTGATATGGGTATTTGGTTTCATTTATTAAAGTTTGGATCTTTTGGTTTCATTATGTTATAGGTATTTAATAATTTGTGCAATGACTGAAATTATACTTTTGTCCACCAGATTCGTACAATGCTTGGCATATTTAAATTATGGTTTATGCAATTGATTTTTTTGCCTATTTAATAAATTGTCACAGTTCTAAATTTGTTATCAATTAATTAAATAAACTGAGCTTAGATCTTTGTCCATCATATTAATAGAATGCTTGATGTATCTAAATTGTTGTTTGTCATGTATTGATGTTTTAACTTAATTCTGTGATTATCGTTATTGCCTTCATTCAATAGAAACCACTTCTACAGTAGAGCCAACAAGAGATAGATTCCTTTTCAACAGACATCAAGGTGCAAAAATCCCCTTCCCCAACCAGTAGCATATATGTAAAGACATGTCCGAACTCTCTTGAACAAAGAGCAGCTCAACTGTTGATATTTTGATTGCTGCTTGGTTTAATAAAATATGATCAATAGTTTAAGATAACAAGTAACATATAAAACATGTTATTAGTTTTTATTTTCTGACTTAAACTTGCTATATATTTTCATAACTTTATACACATTTCAGATAGTTTTAAAACCCGCAGCATCGCGCGGGCACCTTTGCTAGTTATATATACTAAAACTGAATCCAGGAATTCACTGTTCCTAGACTGTAGCTTAGCAATAGTGAAGTGACGTTTGTGTCCCTCTCTTTTTACTGTTTGCACACTCATTTTTCTCATCAGAACAGTGAAATCACGGTTTTGTCCTTAATTAATTAGTTTCGTCTCTTTCCCGTTTTGCCCCCCGTCTCCTTCGATGCCTACATCTGGAATGTTCGACGTTTTTGCAGAACCATCTGCCCAAGCCTTCAGTTTTCGTTTCCATCGTTCGCCCCCTTCGTTGCCTTCTTCTTTCCGTCCGGTTCCATTGTTCACCTGTTTCCCTGCCTTCTTCTCTTTTGATTCGAAAATCAATCTCTATCTAAAAGCTGTGCGCACGGGTAACGCCGCCGTCGGCGTACGTGGCACCGACACCATCGTTCTCGGCGTCAAAAAGAAGTCCACAGCAAGCTCCAGGACTCCAGGTCCATCTCTCTCTCTCAAACAATGTTTTTCTGTGCTTTGATCTAACAGATTGAAAATGAGGTTGGGTTTAGGGTTAGGGTGCAAGAAAAAACAGAGTAATTAATTTTGATGATTCAGAAAAACAGAGTAATTAATTTTCTATTTTATATTTTGATTTGTATTTGTGACTATTTGATTACGCAGGCATACTTACTAACCATTTGTTTGTTTGTCCTTGAATTGCGAATCCTCAAGTGATTTACAGGGCCTGTTTGGAATTCAAAGGAAAATTGAGCAAATTGAGTCATTATTATGCTTGGATTCAACAGGTGTTTTTCTCTCATTTCCCCACAATTTTTTCCCTTTTTCAATCTTTTTGATTCTTATTATTGAATGGGTGTGTGAGTAATGTTGGGTTCAGATTGTACATAATGTGTTTATTGATTTTGTAACGGTGGATTTGATTTGGAAAGGAAAGAGAGCATCTTTGTCAACATCAGACAGTCTATGTGTTCTTTTCTTACTATGATGACTTCTAATGATGTTGATGACTGATGGAGAGGGAAAAACAGAGGAGAATGGTATGTGTATAGAGTTGTTTTTTTCATTGAAATTATGATTTGGATATGTGGTAGGATTGATTTTTGATTGAATTGAAGAACTGCGTATGTGTTCTATTAAAAATTTCATTATGGTTATGAACCAGACATATCCATTAATCA